CTTCTGTGGAATTGTTTTTGTCTTTTTGGTTCTATATTAATGTTTGGAAACATGAGGCATAAGGTACTCCAATGGCAGTTAAGTATATTTGCTAAATACAAATGGCACATTATTAAAATGTACAGGAATAACACATTTAATCAGATAATCAAATGAAAAGTACCTAAAAAGATGTCTGGTGTTTATTTGAATCTGATTTGTGACATTTATTGTGTCTGATGTTTAATAATCCTGTTTATCACTTAAAAAAATCACAATAATATCAGAAAATATATACAATTCTGTGACTATTTCATTCTGCATGGAATAGATTTAAAGGTCAACACTACTCTTTTACGTAGGTTATGGGTGCTACATGTGTGCTTTCAGAGCAGTAGTGTGAGGAAGCTTGAAGTGGGATGGCAGGACGGCCTCATCCCTATGACAGTAACTCCAGTGATCCAGAGAATTGGGATCGGAAATTGCATAGTAGACCTCGTAAACTTTATAAACATTCAAGGTAGGTAGAAAATATGTATTTCACATATCAGAACTCTGCTAAAATTAATTTTTATGAAGGACGAAGCTGTGTTTGGTTGTGGCAAAGCCTTTAAGAGGATGGGGGTCAATTCACAAAATACTGTGAATATTTGCATTTCTCTTTAAATAACTTCTAGGGAAACGTCTTCCTTTTAATTTTCTTATTTGTGTTTATTTAATTCTTATTTGTATTTTTATGAATTTTTGTTTCTGTTTCTAAATAATGTTAAAATATCCTTAGTTGACCCCATGAATCAATGCTATAGTTAATTGGGAACTCTGACAAGACAGATTATTTTTTTGTATTTAAAACTCTCTAATAGGAATTTATTTTATGCTCTAAATATATTGTGTATGATAATTTATAGGCTTTTGTCAGTCTTTGCCTCTGTACATTTTTAACTGTGTATATTTATATTGGGTTATCATCCTGATCCTAGTGGTAAAATCAGTCTATCTGCTGTGACTCACCTGGTTCATTTAAAGTTTGATGCATTAAGTGAAACTCAGTTCAAAATTTCAGCCCTTTTATATATTATTTTTAAAGCTTTCTTTTTGTGCTGTGTGACTTAATGAGGAACAGTTCATTTAGAACACTTTATGATCTCATATTTTAAGGTGTTAACAGCTCATAAACCTCACATAATGCAGGTATGTAAACCTTGTTTTCATAGAGAGTTGGGGGATATTATTGAACATCTAACTTACTTGAATGTAAAATTCTCCTAACTAGGATAACTAATACCACCTTTCTTAAAGAATAAAACATGCAGTGATATTGAAATCCTTTTTGTAATTTTAAAGAAATGATTCAGCTACTTTTAAACCATATACATGGCTAGAAAATATGAGTGATGAGTACTATTCAAGTCTCCTGACAAGATGTATTTTTTATTGTGGACTTTTACTGTGGTGAGGTCTAAAATGAAGATGTTGAGTTGATTTTGATTATAAAGTTCACAGCAATGGTGTGAGTGTTTTTTTTTTTTTTTTCCGTGTGTGTGTCCTTCAGCTGGTGCTCTAGTTTTCTTTCTGCAGCCTGTTTACATGGATGTTTATTTTGTCTTTGAGGTAAAGAGATACTTGTTTTATCTCATTAAATGTGGGGCTGTATTTTTATCTGATATGTTGTATACATTTTTTCAGGTGATTTTCAACTTACCCTTGCTAGTTCTTAGTATTTTTCTGATATACAAGACTGCATTGTATATTAAGTGGTGACAAGGTAAAAATAAGCTATTGTTTGCTTTATAAAAGCTATGTGCAAACAGCGGGAAATATTTTTAAAAACAGTTTTAAACTTGTTGTTACTTAACTTCAGTAACAGATAAAGCTCTTCTTGATTTCTATAACATCAATACCTTTCTGATGCTCTTTTTAATTATGATTGCAATACTATTGGTTGCTTACGTGAATGCAAATTTATTGTTTTTTTTTGTTTTGTTTTGTTTTTTTAGTGGAAAGATGAGGAAATCCTTTGACCTTATTTTAACTTCATTCATGGAAAATCTGCCCATGGGAGAACAGTTTACTTTTTGGGAGCTTTTGTTCCAATGTACTTATATAACTTACTATGCTTTAAAAAAAAATTCAGTTTGACTTTTTTAAAGTGGTAGTTTTATAATTAATTGTTAATTTATTGAGCAGTATTAAAAACTAATAGTATAAGTATTGTTGAGAACCTGTGCTCAGTTCAGGAAAGATTCAGCAGTTTGTCACAGTACCATCATGAAAGACTTTAATATCCAGGTATGAAACAATCAGAGGACAAGAGGGCAATAAATTGAGGTAATGAGTTGTAGTAAAATGAGAGTTCAGAGAAGAAATCAGTGCCAGTCTGAGCAGGTAAAAATGAGACTTGAACTAATCCTTGGATAATTAGATAGATGGAGGGCATTCCTGCCAAGGACTTTCTGGAAATTACCTTGACTAAATCTGAAGGTTGAACTCTATGAATAGTATTCCTGTCTCCAATTAACAGATGGAAAAAATGAGGTTAATAAACTTACCTAAGACTATCCAACTTATAAATTATAAAGCTGGAATTTATAAACAAACTGCTTATTCTTTTTATTTTAAAAAATTTTCAGTAACTCATTTTGGTGCATTTAAAATACATATAAGAGAAAACAGTTATAATGAACCCCTATGTACTCATTCCCCAGTTTCAAGTTACCATTTCATGGCTAATTTTGTTTCATCTGTCCTTCTACATATTTTTGCATCCTTTTTTTTTGAATCTTGTGTATTTTATTTAGGGATATCTGAGTAAAAGGAAGCCAGAGTAAACACTGGCTTAAGTTAGGGGGTTATTTTTTTGTACACAAAAGTCCACAGGGAGGCATCACCTGATATAGACTTAGTGGCTTAATATCCTTAAGGATATTAAGGTCAAAGATCTTTGATTTTTCTCTGGTTGTTTCCTCATGATCACAAAATGGCTTACTATACAGTTTCAGCCATCATGCCCACCCTCCAGACAAGGAGGAATGGAGACAGGGATAATGGGAAAGAGGTTTCATTTATATCAGGAAATTAAATTTCTCAAAAATTTCTAGCAGGCAACTGCTTAAAAATTATTGGCTAGAACTATGTCATATGGTCATCTCTAGATCATGGAGACTTAGAAATATAAGTGCTCACATTGCCACCTCAAACAGAATTGGGGATTTAAATCTACAAAAACTAAATGGCTCAGTCTGTTAGGGCTGCTATAACAGAATACCATATGACTATATTATAAACAGCAGAAATTTGTTTCACGTAGTTCTGGAGGCTAGGACGTCCAAAATCAAAACGCTGGCACATATGGTGTCTGGTAAGGGCTTGCCTCCTGCTTCAGACAGATTTTTTTTCCCTGTGTTCTCTCATGGTGTAGAAGGGACTAGGGATCTTTCTGGGATCTCTTTTGTAAAGGTATTAGTCCCATTCATGAGTGCTCTTCCCTCATGAGCTAATTACCTCACCTACAAATACTGTATCAGTATGTGAATTTTGGAGCTAAAAACACTTAGACTTTAGCAATAAAGAAATAAGCATATTTATTAAAAGAATCAGTTTTTGGAGTTTTTCTAAAAAGTTATCTTTTCACATATTGGAATAGCCTGCTTTCTGAAATCCTTTTCCTTTGATTTTTTTTTTCTCTATTTTTCCTAACTGGCAAGGATAAAATTGAATTATAGAAGTAGCAATAGTAATTACTATATTCATATGCTTATGTTGGAGGTTTGAGGGTTTGGTGAATATTGAATTATTTCTCTTTTACCTAATACAATTAATAATACCTAATAATACCTTTCTTTTGTGAAGTTTCTTTGAATGTAGATTTCATAGGTATAACACTGATATAAAAGACAAGACAGGGAAGCTGATATGGATGAAATTCAGGGTCCCTCTGGTTCCTCTGCAAGTGCATACAAATGAATTAGTTGAAAAATTACTCAACTTTTCCTTCTGACTAGTAGTTGTATAGTTATTACTTATATTGAGGAGTTTGGTAGCTTGCTGAGAAGTTAAAGGTCATTTCAGTTGAAATTTATTTGGCCTGAAATGTGACACCTTTCTTTAAATTATAAAGTAGAGGAGTTTTTGCTATTTAAAAAGGAAAAAGAAAGAGTACCTTTTCTATATAACTAATGTTAAAATGCCCTAGAGTGACAACATGCTAAAAGCTCTTGCATATTTGAATTGGGTCGAATACAGCTATTTAAAACTCAAATCTGCAGTCTGCTCAGGTTACTAAAGATAAATGCATCATACATTCAATATCAGACTTTGCCGCAAGGGTTCATTCCCACATAGAAGTACGCATGCTCCTTTCTTCTGCATGAAGATTGAGCTTTCCAGTTTCCTTTTTAAGTCGCTCTTTAGTCCTAGCAGCAGTTTAGAAATGGAAAAGTTGGGTTGCTTTAAAGAGTAGTTCTTTTCGTGGGTCCTTAAAGTACAGATAACATTTTCTCTTTGGTTTTAAAGAGAAGATTTATTGCCCAGAAAGGTACACAATAAAATATTGAAAGGAAAAAAGAAAGTTAGCTGCATCCTAGTTTTTTAAAACCTGGCAAGCTGGCAGAGCTAGAATTAGCTTTACAGATGGTATTTGGCAACATATCTACATATCACTAACCCTCATCTCCTGAGTTTTCTTCATCCTGTCTATCAATTACAATATCCAATCACTGCACAGAGATGGAGAAATGGGATGATCACAGCTCACACGATGCTGTTTGGTTAGAAACGTCAGTGCTGCACAACCCACGGCTGAGTCAGTGTCTGTGAGAAAATGAACTGAATTAATACAGAGCGGGGGTTGTATCTCTGAATATTTAAGGCCAAAATAACTGCAATAGCATTATTACACAGTAGAGGGGGGAAAGCTAAAGGAAGTCTGTAGACAGGTGAGGTAGGGGACTGGGAGATTTTTTCATTGTTCAGAGGAATTCTGAAGATGATGGAAATATCAGATGTGCTAAAGTTTCCTAGTAATGCCCAAGGATGCTGACCTGGCTTTCAGTGCTGCATTGTTTGAAAAAGCAGAGTCCCTTTATACTCTGATTTCAAAATTTTTTTCTTGTTTTTGTGTGTCTGCCTTGGCATATACTAAAGTAAGGTGTGTATTCATTTATTACATGATAATATGCTGGGTTATAATTCTATAGATTTCTAAATATGAGAGAGGTGGAGAGAGAGATGTTTGGCTTTTGTTTCATTATGATCATTTATGCTTTTGAATGTTAAAATCATATGTCTTGATTGTCAGTTTAATGGCACATTATTTAAAATAGTATGTGTTTTTATTATTTTCATGGATTTGAGGCTTTGTTTCCTATTTCATTTAAAGTCTTAGTAGAATCATCATGTAACTTGAGAATACATTATGTTTGATCTTGTTTCTTATGAATGTCATACAAAATTTTATTTAAGGAAAAGCTAATTTTGAAATAATATTTTTATATATTTGAAAATAAAATTCAAGATAAAATAATTGAAATAATTTCCTAAAGAAGAAGGTGAATGTAGTCTTACTTTTGGGTGAATTAAGAATTAGTTGATCCATTTTATATGTATTTTACAGAACTGTATGTATTTGAATGATAAAGTTTTAACTGGTTAAGATGACTTTTTCCCCTAGTCTTTTAGAACACAGACTCTGAGTAGATGATCTGGATACTGCCATTGAAAGAGTAAATCAGATAAGTTTTTGGATTATTGCAAATTGATTTTCAATGAGAAAAACATTCCTATATAAAGACAATTATTCTTCCTATAAGATTTTAAGTCTTTACAGGTGACAGTGCTTACTTTATTAGGAAATTTTGGCACAATTTAAAGTAATTTGATTAATGATATTTTTCCTTTTGTCTTCATTATCCCTATCCTACTGAGTCTTCATTTTGTAGGGATTTGGGGGGATATACAACATTTTAAAATTATTTTAAATGTTATTAGGTAGTTTGTAACATTCTTTTACTTGAAATGTGAGGAAGTTCTTGTGACTTGCCCCATTTAATTTCTAAAAGTGTGAACGATCGTTACAACTTGTTTGTTTAGTTAGACTAACTGGTGGTGTCTTGTTTTGGCCTTTTTCTTTTTCTCTGGTTTGGTGTCCAGAAATGTTTTTCTAAGCTTGCTTAAGTATAAAGTTATAAAGGCAAAAGTCTCATGTTAAGACTTTTTTGTCTTACACTTTATGGAATATTTTTTTCTCTAGATTGGCTGATTTTTTAAAAACTAATGCCTGTTATAGGAGTAATACATATTTATTACATAAATTTGATAGGTAAGGAAAAGCACATAGAATAAAATAAAAATGTTATCAAAAGAAAAACTTTAAATATTTTTGTATATAACCTTTTTTTCCTGTGTATATATAAAAATATAAATTCACATGTATACACTTAAAAATAATTTAGGGATATTACTACATGTACTGTTATATAACCCATCTTTTTTTTTTTTCTTTAATGAAAAGCAAACTTAATCATGAACATTCCCTGTGTCACGGGATAGTCTTCTATAGCATAATTCTTAAGAATTGCATAGGGTTTTCTGATGTATGTTTTGTAATTTATTGAATTTGAGTTTTTCTGGTTCTTGATAAAAGGTCAGTTTGATTTCACAGCATCAACTTCTCTAAAAAAGAATAATGTCTTGAGTTCAGTAAAAATACAATGTTGATACTTTTCAGAAGGAAAAAGGCCCTCAATGTGTATTATACATTGAATTCTTTAAAGATATGCACATTACTTTTAAAACAGAGCGAATAAGATTGCCATAATAAAGTATAGAAAAAATTTCAGGGGAACAAGAGCTCAGATGAGCTGAGACTTTTAAAAAATGCTACGGCCAGCCAAAAGAGTTTCTTATGTTACACTTTCAAAAGGTTATCAATGAAAGTGTAATAATAGTGAATGGGAATGAGAGAAGAAAAAAAAAATCCATCAACTCTTATTTAGGAGCTTCTTTGGCAGAAAGGAAGAGCAAACTACCACCATCATCAATAATAATAGCAAAGACATTTCTAGTAAAGAATGAAACCGCCACTAATACAGAGATAAGTAAATGCATCTGGCTAAATGAATTGTCTTCTGGAACATCTTATAGTTAAAAAAGAACCTGACTGTAAAATCTTTAAATTATTGATATTATTTATAGTCTTCAAAAGGTTTTAGGAGATTACAAGAAGTACTGAAAGATGGGAGATCCTCGGCCTGATTTTGAAAAAGATAGGAGATTTTAGAGCAAAAAACAAAAGTTAGTTATGACTAACTTGAAGGAAAAAACAGATTAAAAATTATCCAGAATGGGTTTGCTAAAAATAGATTGTCAGAACAACTTTAATTTTTCTCTGATGCAGTTGGTAGTTTAGTAGCAATATATATTTGTACTTCAAATTCGTTTTAGCTTAGTTTTTGGTGAAGTCTTTATATATATATGTATCTCCCCTTGGCTGAAGAAAAATGAGTTAACCATTAGTGGACTGTGTTAACCAACACAGTTTTCATTTTGAAGGACCCTGTTCAGAGGTTATTGATCTTAGAAGGTGGCTCTGTTCATTGCTTTGTCTTATTGCTCATATGGAGAAGGAAAATTCTTAAATTTATAGGTAACAGTGATGAAAGGATAGTAAATAAAAAGCTAATGATCCAAAGTGATCTCCAAATCTGATTTGTTGAACTAAATTGAAATGAACTTTTGAAGAATATAGATAAGAACTGAAAAGCAAATATATATTGTTAGGATGACTTTATAGCATCACATTTTGAAAAGACTTGAGGGGTAGTTGTTGGCGATAAACTTGATATAAAACAAAAATACAGTATGGCTGCCATCATCCCATCTTTCCCCCTACCACCATCCCCCTTAGAAACCATCGCAGTGAATGTGAAAGAAGGTTAGAGCCACTTCATTACACCAAAGTATTGTCTTTAGTTCTGTGTAAATTCAGAAGGAAGGATGTGAGTAAATTGGATGCCTTATCAGCTTAGGAAACTGAAAATTAAAAGGTCTTGGGGGCAACTGTGATAGATTTAAGGAATCTCACAATAAGAGTTGTGTCTTCAATATGTGAAGTTGTCTTCAAATATGTGAAGAATTGTCATTTTTAAAAGAAACTAGATTCACGTTTGAGTCAGAATTGTTTAAGGTTAAAAGCATGAACTCCAAAGTTGTGCTCCTTAGGTCACATGTCAGATCTGCTGCTTGCTTAGCTACGTGACTTTAGGTAAGTTGTTTAGCCTCTAAATTGTCATTTTCTCAACTGTGAAAAGAGGATAGTTTTGTGGATTAAATGAAATTATGTGTAAAGTGCTCACTGTTGTGCCTGACATGTTCTAATATTAATATTGTTGTTGTTGTTGTTATTTGGTCCTAGAATATAGAATAAAGACAGTGGTTCTCAACCTGAGGGTTAATTTTGCCGCTCATTGAGCATTTGGTTTGATCTTTAATTTTATCAGTCTAATTGTATTGTAGTTCAGATTTTTAATTTTAATTCTTTTAATACTTAAAATTTTAGTATGAAGCATAGGAGGAGGAAATTTAATTGAACAAGTTATTTGTGTTTTCAAAAGGCCATTTGGGGGACTTCTCTGGTGGTCCAGTGGTTAAGACTCCATGTCTCTAGTGCAGGGGGTGTGAGTTTGATCCCTGGTCAAGGAACTAAGATCTCACATGCTGTATAGCCCCATTCCCCCCCAAAAAAGGCCACTTGAAAATGAGTGATTGTGGGATTGCTTTGATTTCTCTCTAGAATCTTGGTTTGTGAAAGTAATCTTTGTTAAAATATTCATGGTCATATGATAAATGTTTCTAAAACTAAGTATTGTATTTGTACTTCATATATTTTTTCTATTGGTTTTACTTTTTAGTAGAAAAAGATGCTCCCAAGGTCTTAAAAAAGGAACTCTTCCCCTCCTCTTCTCTGCAACTGAAAGACATGCAGGATCTTAGTTCCACAATCAGAGATCTGACCTGTGTCCCCTTTTATTTGCCATGAAGTGTTGGGGTAGATGCCATGATGTTAGTATTTTGAATGTTGAGTTTCAAGCCAGCTTTTCACTCTCCTCTTGTATCCTCATCAAGAGGCTCTTTAGTTCCTCTTCATTTTCAGTCTTAGAGTGGAATCATCTGCATATCTGAGGTTGTTGATATTTCTCCCAGCAGACTTGACTCCAGCTTGTGGTTCATCCAGACCAGCATTTCAAATGATGTACTCTGCATAGAAGTTAAATAAATTGGGTGACAAAACACAGCCTTATTGTACTCCTTTCCCAATTTTGAACTAGTTCAGTTCCATATCTGGTTTTAACTGTTGCTTCTTAACTTGCATACAGGCTTCTCAGGAGATAGGTAAGGTGGTCTGGTATTCCCATCTCTTGAAGAATTTTCCAGTTTGTTGTGATCTACAGCAGTCAAAGGCTTTAGCTTAGTCAATAAAGCGGACTTTTTTTTTTTTTTTCTGGAATTCCCTTGCTTTCTCTACAATCCAACGAATGTTGGTAATTTGATCTCTGGTACCTGTGCATTTTCTAAATTCAGCTTGTACATCCAGAAGTTCTTGGTTAACATACTACTGAAGCCTACCTCGAAGGATTTTGAGCATATCCTTATGTGTGAATGAGCACAGTTGTATAATAGTTTGAACATTTTTTGGCATAACCCTTCTTTGGGATTGGAATGAAAACTGACCATTTCCATTTCTGTTTTCCAAATTTGCTGGCATATTGAATGCAGCACTTTAACAGCATCATCTTTTAGGATTTTAAATAGCTTATTTGGAATTCCATCACCTCAACTAGCTTTGACTTCACTCTCCAGGATGTCTGGCTCTAGGTGAGTGACCACACCATCATGGTTATGTGGGTCATTAAGACCTTTTTTTGTACAGTTCTTCTGTCTATTCTTGCCATCTCTTCTTAATCTCTTCTGCTTGGTCCTTGCTGTTTCTGTCCTTTACCATGCCCATTCTTGCATGAAATGTTTTCTTGAAGAGATCTCTAGTCTTTTCCTTTCTATTGTTTTCTTCTATTTCTTTACATTGTTCACTTAAGAAGGCCTTCTTATCTCTCCTTGCTGTTCTCTAGAATTCTGCATTCAGTTGAGTATATC